TCGGACCGAAGCTGAAACGTAGTATGGTCGTTTAGAGCAATGTTATTTTTTCTGCCCATACCAGCCACGTGTTGAAACGTCTCCTCCTGAAAACCTACGCCGTCACTCAAGGTGAAGGTATGTGTCATGATTTACGAGACAAGAAAGAAAGAAAAAAAAAGAATAAATGGATTTTCGGCGGCACGGAGAGAAGTAGGAAAAGGCGCGAGAGGGGTCCGAACCAAACTGACAAGCCGCGACGGTTGGCTGCTGTCTTCTAGGGTTGCGGAGCTCGGGTCGGCCGTGTCCCGTTCCTGAATTTCTCGACTCCGCCAGGCTTGAACCGGTCGGCTGTCGCGTCCTTGAAATCGACTCCGTCAGACTTGGATCACCGCGCTCGGCATCGACATCTTGGTCCGAAGGGCACCAGCGGGCTAGGCACCGTTCTCCGACGATCCACTCGCCACTGACTACGCAGACTGTAGGCTATTCTTGTTGATTCTTGTTGACCGTGTATGTCTTTACTTTCGAATGCAAGATTCACTTCATTTATCCCACGCTTTTGCTTTTTTTTTTTTTTTTTTTTTTTTTTTTTTTTTTTTTTTTTTTTTTACAGTATGCTTATATGTGCTTCATGGAGAATTTTCGTTATCTTGCGTGGTCTCTAAAAAGGAAATTTTCGAAAATACGCAGATGAATGAACCGTACTGATCGAACGGAATAGTTGGTACGAAGCCGCCAGAGTTTTTTGTTTAGGTGGCTTCGTAACAATTATTCCATTTGATCAGTACGGTTAACTCATCTGCATATTCACATGCACTACATTTGATATTCAAGGGTGCATCAGTTGCGAGACTTTCTCCAAGCCAGTCGCGCTTCCTGGTTATAATAATTTCTGGCAGTGATTCATCTTACATTCGCTCGTACAAGATGCCACCGAGAATACTCGTTTACCGATGCGAGAAAACGGCGAGGGCCCAAATATGCACAAAGGATACTTCGGCTATCATGCCTCGCGTTCAGCTGTGTCCCTGCAAATTACTGGTTGCTTCGCACACATACATGTCAGGAAGCGAGAGTCAAGTAATTAATGGTGACCCTCATTTACATGCTCGCGCCTTGGTCATCCTAATGTGGTTGTGAATAAGGTTGTTTGCGCACGCATGCGGAGAAAACAGTATTTTTGGCCTTTCCGCGGCATTTAGTGTTTTTTTGTTTCTTTTTGAGAGAAAGAGAGAGCCATTCAGTCAAGGTTAACAAGACACGAGTTTGTTTTGCTTGCTAGACAAGCAAATTTCAACAGATAGCTTTAAATTAAGACGATTTTAAATTGAAAGGAAAATTAAATTTAAAGTTAAAGGGACACTGAATACGAGTTTAAAAAAAAAAAAAAAAAACTTTCTGAAGTTTCATGGGCGAGTTGACTTATACCAAACCATTCTTAAAGATTTCAAGCGGAAAAACTTGGAGGATGCTTAAAGGGACACTGACAGGGTATTTATGCTCGCCGAGGTTGTTAGTTGTACGTGACATATGAGGGCTCAACTACCCAGAACAGAATTTGCGGCTCGAAATTCGGTTTCTTTCCGCCCGAAAACCGCCGATCAAGAACTGGCCGGTTCGAGTCTCGCTCACTCTCTTTTCCGCGGTCACGGGCCATTTTCTAAGGTATCGATGCGACCACCAAATTTAATCAAAGTCGTGGGTCACTGAAGGCACACACTCAATATTAAAAATAGAAAAAAATATGAAACCCATTTTTTGTGGCTTCTAAAAAGCTGCAAATACGTTGATTGAAAAAAAAAAGTTCCACAGACAACCGGAAGCATTCTGTGCGTTCGTCGTTTCGCGTATCGTGGGACTCGCGGGGACGGCGATGGCAGCGGACGACGGGCGTGGGACCTCTATTTCAGAACTGTCGTTCGCGGTACCGGCGAATTCTGTCTACCGTTAAAAGAGACATGTGGGACTGATCAAAAGATTTGGTATTCATCCCGTACGACACGCCCGGCCACCAAGCCGATTTGCACGAAGACGTCGCCGAGCCGTCGCTCCCTTCTCGTGGCTGAAGACAACGCTCGCGCAAACGTCAAGCACGACGTGTCTACTTCGAGTTGAATATGCACGCGTACGATTTCTTTACTAGGTGCGAATGTCCCCAAAGCGTGGTGCTTCCCGACTTCGACCCGGGAGTGCTTTTGCTAAAGAAAAATCGACAGCAAACTTTCAAACTTACAGTTTACCGGCTGAATTATTACTAAGGAAAGAGATCCACCAGAAACGAGATGCCCCAGTAACTCAGTGGGAAAGACGTCCGCTTCACACACCGAAGGTCCGGGCTCGATCCCCCGTGATTTTTTTTTTTTTTTTTGCAAACAATTTCTGATGTTTACATATCTTTTTCTTTTTTTTTACAATCATCACTGAAGAAACAAACAAAAAAAAATAACAAACAAATGTTGTGGACGATACTTCGCTGAATTAAACGGTATGGGATTTCCGTTTTGACACCTGCGAACTCAATGTAATCACTTTCCACAAAGTGCAAGGAGCATATAAATCAGGTAGCGTCTGCTTTCCGAGGTGCCCGTAAATGTTCTACAGGAATTGCAGCCAGCCATTGGTTCCGATCCCGTTGATCTTTCGACAATGCTACTTTTTTTCGGATGCAGGACATGTGAGCCAGCTCTTCACGCAACATCTTGGGTTTATTCTTTTCGGAGCCGATCATGGAAATTCACCACGGGCACTCACTACTCATCTCTAACTCCTCAATGCACAAAACAACTCATCTTGGAGTACATAACAACGAGCGGAACAAACATAACTGCAAAAGAATGGCACGGCAAGCAGTTCCCGCACGCCGCATGTCGTGTCGTCTGCTACCGGAGAGGAGAAAAACAAAACAAAAAAAAAAGCACGGTCGGGTGTGACTTCCGCCAGTCACTCTCTTCTCTCCACTTCTCCGACCTCCGTCGGGTTTCGGTTTCGGTTTCGAGCAGTTGCGTCTTTTGGCTTTATTAAAGAAATACGCTACTCTGTTGCAAAATATTAATTGGGTAGTCCTCCGACACCATAATGAAGCGCCTGGCAAAAAATAAAAAAAATTTTTTGGGGGGTGTCAGTGTCCCTTTAAGCTTCGCCTTTAAAGGGACACTGACAACCCCCCCCCCCCCCCCCAAAAAAAAGAAGAAAAAAAGAAAAAAAAGGTTGTTTTATTTTTTGCCAGGCGCTGCATTATTGTCAGAAGACTACCCATCGATATTTTGCTATAGCGCCGCGTATATTTTTAATAAAGTAAGAAAAACGCCACTGCTCGAAACCGAAACTAGGAAAGAATATGCGGAGCACTAGTTCGTCTGCTTCATGCATAGGGGTTGCAATGATGCCAAAATGCCGAGTTCTTATTGGCTGATTATAAAAAAAATATATATATATAAATAAAAAAAATAGTGGGTAGATTTTAAGGCATCTAGCATTGAGGTCTACCCACTATACTTCCAATCAAATCCAATCAGAGCTCAACGACATTCTGACGCCACCGCAACTCCATTTCAGGAAGCAGACGACTTGCTCTCCACATAGAGAAGAGAGAGTTGGCGGAAATCACGTGGATGTGCAACTTTTCTTTTTTCTTCAATCAATATATTTGCGGCATTTTAGAAGCCACAGAAAATGAGTATCACATTTCTTTTCTCATTTTAATATTGAGTGTGTGCCTTCGATCACTCATGACTGTGGATATATTTGGTGGTTGTGTCTAAAACAGAAAATTGCACGTGACCACGAAGAGAGTGAGTGCGACTTGAACCGTCCAGTTCTTAATCGGCAATTTTCGGGCGGAAAAAAAAAAAAATTGAGTTGCAAATTGTGTTTTGGGTAGTTGGGCTCTTATATGCCATGTACGAATAAAAACCTTGGCGAGCATGCGCCATCTGCATCTTTTTTTTTTTTTTTTTGTCTTATTGTTTGAATTTTTATATTTCCTCAATTAAATGCAACAAGAAATTGCGAGAAATCGCCGACAGCCGTTCCGTTACATGTGCGATTGCTACACTGCGACCCTGGTAGGATAAGGTTTAATCCCCTTGGAAGCAAAGTAAAGCCATTCCACCTAATCTACAGGGTGTTTCCAAGAGCTCTTCGGTTGTAAAAAAAAATCGTATAAATAAGCCAAAAAATTATGTTTAATTAAACTTTGTCACAAAGATGTCTTTAAGGGGTGCACTTACCATAGTCAAATATGCGTGTAAGTTGCAGGAAACTATTTAAACTTATAAAATCATTGTTGTTGCTTTTTCCTATGCACAGGGGGAAGAACGGCAAAAGCCGCCTAGCTGATGCTGCTACTCACAGATGGTGCCGCAGTGCGTGCTCGAATTAAAGTGCCTTCATGTTCGCTTTCTAGCTCGGATCTGCTAAGTCTGCTTTCGGGAATCCATCTAAAACATTATCACGGTTTTGCTTTATTAGTGCCATCCTTGAGTAACAGCGTCAACCAAACGATTTTTGCTGCCGTTTCGCCTGTGCATAGGAAAAAAAAAAAAACAATTTTCTTTCCTGCCTGTGCGTAGAAAAAAAAAATGCAGTTTTCCAGCTTAAATATTTTTACTGAAATCTACTCTCTCAAAATTTACCTAAACACCCCACTGTGAAAAGTTTGAATGCATTCTGTTCGTAAATTTATTTATACGAATTTGTTTTAAGGCTTAATAGCTCTCGGAAATACTCTGTACACAGAATGTAACCTCCAGCACATTCCATTTCCGGACAGGGGCATCAAGTAGCGGGAGAAAAAACACATAAATTTGATAGGGTGTGAGAAATTGTGTGTGTGTGTGTGCGGGGGGGGGGGGGGGTGGAGTTACTCTATGGATATTCAGCCAGGGAGACGATTTGGACAATTTTTCGGGAGAGTGTGTTTGTTCGGAGCATTACAGTATGTGACTGCGCTTGTGAAAAAAACTTGGTCGGTCACATACCCTACACAACCATCCCGAAAATAGCAGAAGAGAGCATTGTAAATCAACAAAAAAGACCTTTATTCAATAACATTTCTCAACTCTCGCCTTGGCAAAAATAAGTCCTTAGTTCATAACAATAATGAAAGTGCGGGTGAGAGCAGCCAAGGCAAACGGACTATACAAATATAGCTGAAGAAAAATGCTTCAGAAATAGGGTAGCTAAGCATAAAATATCTGTGTTTGTTGCTATGTATGTAAATAAAACATAATATCTGTCAAATATATTCAGATTTATCACTAAATACCACTCTTTTCAGACCTGCTTCACCATGTCTCAGGCAACAACCCTTGCAAACATAAAAAATTGTTTTCTTGTTTTTTTTGGTATTTTTTTTTTTTTTTTTACTGAATTCAATCTATGTAAAGTGAAACTTAGATAAACACGAATGTGTGGTTATCGGACTAGCTGATAGCTTCTACCGCAGTCACCTTTACATTTGTTTTTATTGCATAATATGACTGATTTCAGATTACGACTTTTTGGAAACAATCAACCCCCAGATATGCGCCAAATTTCAGCCAAAATTGACTTAGTTTAGGTTTCTGGATTTGGCTCATTAAAATAAAAAAAAGTAAACTCCTCATATCTAGCTTACATATCACAGGCTCATATCATCGGTTGCTGGAAATTATTCTCATCTTGTGTCAGTCAGGCCCGGCTGCTTGTTCATTTTAATCCATCTATTCCTTGAGCATAGCAGCAGGCAGCATTCACAATCTTCTTGCACATAAGCAGGAACAACAGGATGATAACAGTTCTCATTTGGAGAAGCCAAGGTGCAGTGCCTTCCTCAAAAGACCAGGACCCTCCCAATATCCCCTGAAAAAAAAACAAAAAAAAACATGAAAGCAAACATTCTTTAGCTGAAATTCCTTAAGGCTGGTTCAGACATTTGCATTTGTCTGTGACCAACTGCGCTGCAAATCCTTGCATTCCGCTGTGACGCACTGCGAGGACCTCAGTCGCTACAGCAACCATCTAGTCATAACCAGACACAAACGGTCGTAATGCATATGGTCAAGCACAAAAACAAATCTTTTAAGCAGTCTTTAGTGTCCTTATATATTCCATGACAATGTTGTAAGCAGTAGTAATTTTCCATGCAGGTGGCAGACGCAGGTATTACATGTATTTTCTAAGGGGGGTTAAGCTTACCACATGTTTGAACCCCCCCACCCCCCATTTCCCCACCCTAAATTTTTACACATGAAAAATTCAAGAGGGTGGCAGGATATCCAGAGCCCCCCCATTTCTGAATCTGCCACTGGTTCACTGATTTCATGTTTCTGGCGACTATTATTTTTGAAATTCAGGGGGGAGAGAAAAAAAAAAGATTTCAAGGTTTTTTTTGTTTTTTTTAAGATTTTATGTTTTTTGGCATTACTTCTTGGTGTTAAAAAAAGGTTGGTGTACATTGGGGCTTACGCTGAAGAAAACAGGACACTGGCACGGGATTTCCCAACTTCCGGGGAACAAGCATGCAGCCCGAACACTTGAAAAACGTCTCGGTAGCAACGAACTAAAAAAACGGGATGAGAGGTGAGGTTCCCAAACAATGCAGCAGCCTCGCAGAGTTTGCTCTGGGGGCTTTGTTCCGGGTGAATACGAAATAAGGCTGTAGATAAAGAATTCTTCCAGCGAAGCTCAGGCTTTTTCCTTATTCAAAGACGGCTTCGATTTGGGCTCTTTTCACATTTTTATTGAAAAAGCATTAACTGTCCCATGGAGCGAACCGGTGTTATCAACTTTTAAAGCCGCGCGCCAAACCACACCTAAATTTCACTGTCCCAATGGAGCGAAGCTTGTCGTCTGTAGCAGAGAATTGATTGATAGGCTGCCATTGGCTGGTGCACGTCATAGTTTATACGACAGAGGCTCCCATTCGCTGGCGCGCATCATAGTTTCAAGGAATGCCACCCCATAGTGCTGCAAGCTAACAAAAGGAACATGGTGGCACGCACACGCGCTCGGCCACTTCTGCTTTTCTCAACACCGACTGTCACATGAAACGGCAAGGGTAATATACAAAGGTCGGGGAGAAGCGTCTGTCGACGTGAGCGGCTGCCCGGTCTCCCGGAGTCTTCCCCCATATTCGAAATCTCCAACGCGTGCGGGGACTGTTTTTCGGTACCCTGCTTGGTGGCTCCCTTCCCCTCACCTCGCCCGCCCAGGCTCAGCGGGCTAACTAAGGCATGTAGTCCCCCAATTCCTGGCTGCCTTGCCATAGGCTCAGGTTACTCCCGAAGCCATGGGCCGCAGACGGCCGCGTCTGTGGCCGCCACAGGCATAAATATTAGGAGGCATGCAGTCTCGTAACTCTGCCCAAAAGCAAACCAAACACAAAAACATAACCTGAGGTCTTTGAACCTAGCGGAGTTGTGTCTCTTTAAACGGCAGGGAATGCTTGGGTTTAGAGGGCAGACTGCTTTCAGGGCCAAAGGGCAGATCGACAGGGCAATGATCGTCTTGGGGAGGGGAATTTCCATTCTTGGTACGCGAACCTCGGTTTGAGTGCGGGGAACAAAGGACAGTACGGGAAGAGACTCTGAGGCGAATGGACCCATCGCGTCGTCGAACGGGGCGTTGAGACCACTGTTGACGGCCTGAGTTCCGCTGTGTGTGAGCGTGTCAACTGAAGAAGTGGGTACGAGGCCAGGGGGCCCCGCCCATAGTGAGCCAGCCGACCACCGGAGCACCTCCACCTTGGACGGACCGCGCAGGGAGACGTTGTCCACCACTGACTCGCCAGATGAGACTTTTAGCACTCGCTGTTCCTTCTTTAATTAGCATATTTTGATTTGGTTAATCGTAACACCTTTAGTAGCGACTGTATAAACCTTAATAAACCTTTATATCTGAACTCTTTTTTGTAAGCATTCTCCTCTATATTACAGAAGCTATTTGTGCAGAGTGTATGTCTCATAATTAGCTTTCTGCCTAGCACTAAATTAAAGCTTCTTTTTGTTCCCGAGATACGTCTCTGTCTCTCTTCATTAATCAGACTCTCTACCAGAGCGTGGACCTATCGCTCGGTCAGTGGTCCACCCTTAAACAACGTCACACCCAAAAAACTCTCTCTTGATCTTTTTTTTTTTTTTTTTGTTGTTGTGACACTGACGAACATGGCGGCACCTCAGGCATCCACATCGTCAGCAGCTGCAACCTCGGCAGTAGCGAAACCTTCTTTAGATGAACTAAGGAAGCGGAATAATGCAGCACAATGAGCGAGGAGGCAGGCAGCAAAATCCACCATCGTTGTCAAGTCTCCGAATACAGAGGGCAGGACGAGCAGTAGCGTAACGCGCTAGAGACAGAACAAAGCCCTTCCAGAGCGTGACGGGCAAGCGGATCACGATTCAAAGAATCTCAGGCAGCAAAAAAACAAGGCCCATCGACAACGCGAGGCGGAAGCAATACACCGCAGACGGCATGCTTTCACATTCACAACTCGTAAGAAGTGCTTAGGTGTCCTCCGACTTTTTTTCTATTTCTCGTTATAGAGATGAAACCAGCTCAGCAACAATTCTTCGGATTTTGTGGACAATTGCCGAAATCAAGAAACCCTACCCATAACCTGCAAGATAAAGAACTCCGTAGTGGCCCTGCCGAGATGAAAAGGCCAATTTCTGATGCGAAAGCATTAACTGTCCCATGGAGCAAGCTGACGTCATCAGCTTTGAACCCGTGCCAAAAGGCACCTAAACTTCTTCCTCCAAGTGAAGCCCCGACCTGATGCTCCCAGCTTTGAAGCCCCGCGAAAAGCCTAGCCAAACGGGACCTAGTTTCCCCCCTCCCAATGGAGTGCAGTGAAGGCGAAATCTGATGGATAGATCCAATTGGCTGAAGCGAATCATAGTTTCAAGGAACTAGGCTCCCAATGGCCACTGCGCATCACTTTCAAAGACTGCCACCCCATGGCGCTACAGATCTGCGCCACCAGCACGCCGGTAAAACAAACCGTCTGGCCGCCAAGCGAGGCAGTGGCTCCACCGCCAAGGTTAGCGTGGCAAAGAGAGTGTGCACTTGGCCATCCACGCCAGTACGCCGCAGACAAACTAAGGGAGTGGAACAACAACATGCATGTTTTTGCATTCACAGCTCATAAGAAGTGCTTAGGTGAACCTCAAGCCTTTTTTTTTTGGTTTTTCAAGAAGGGGGAAAAAGAAAACCTACCAAGAGCTTCGAAACAGCAGCCAATGTTTCACATTGGTTTCACTACTACAGTCACCGACAAGGTAAGAACAAGAACTGCAACATCTGTCTTCCAGATGCCCGACCTTCAGCATGCACACTCCTTGTTTTCCATCATGCTTTGGCAGCTTGTGCACACTCGAGGCTCGGAAGATGCCAAAGCGTAGAGCGCTGTGTCCAAGTCTTTTGACAACTAAAGCACCTATGTGTATTTACCACGTGATCCTGAACCTTACGGCTTAGCGAAAGTAGCAAGCTCGCGCTGGCAACGGCACGACTGAGGCTCCTCCCCGCCACCTTCGTCTTGTCGGCGACTACGGCAGACTTGACTTGGTTTTTTCTCAGAGACTGCTTTTCCCGCCTTAAGAAGCTGTCCAACCGCGCTGACGGCTGCCACCCTGACGCTCCTTAGGAGATTCCTTTTCGTGTTCTTCTTAACGGCTCTTGCAACTTGCACGATTTATAAAGAAGGAAGTCATGTTTATCCCACCAAAACGCAGTGCGCAGTAACTCGAAAGGAATGGCTTCATTTCTCAATGCCGTACAGACCACTGTGTGGAAAACTGTACTTCGTATCGAATAAAATGAATAATTTAGTATAGACCACTTACAACGTAACCGCTTATAGTGCAGGACTGGGTACAACGCGGCTTTTTTAAACCACCGGTTCGCCTCCCATAGAACTTCATGTAATTACATACCGCTTAAAATGCAGGCGCGCAAAGGGAAATACCCGTTATAGTGCGGTTTCTGGAACAGCCAGCCGACCGCACCGACAAACCGGCTCAGCGAGCACGCTTTCCTATGCGACACTAGATAACGGCGCTAGCCGCAAGCGGCACTCGCAGGGCAAGGAGGTTGCTCGAAGAAGCGGGGAGAAGCGAAGAGAGAGGCTTCAGTTGCCATAGCGACGGAGGGACGCACGCACGTGTCGTTCACGTACGTGCGTCCCTCCGCTGCGTTGGAAACAACCGCAACGACAGACCAATCGCAGGTCGAGGAGGAGTGTTCGCGCGCGTTGCATACCGATCGCGAGCCGGCTTCTCCTATCCGCAAACATGGCGTCGGTTGTGATCGTCGACGTAGACGACGTGGTGAAAGCTCATCGTTCCGCATAAAAGCGATATCCTTGACTGTGAATTTTCGTAGTGTGTCACTATAACCCAGCACGTACTACGGTAGAAGGGAAGATCCACCTACTCGTGCGGCGATGTCGTGGCGGCACTCTCAAGACGGCAGAAACGCCCGTGTCGTCGTGTTTGTTTACTTCGACTACAGTGGTGCTTTCTAAGCATTTGTGTTTTCGAACATTGCCCAGATTTCTCATTTGGAGCATTTCATGCCTGTGCTCAAGTTGAAGGTATTACTGACGCGTAACGTATAAAGGATGCGAATTTTCACGCGTTTTCATCACCGTAGAAAAGTGATTAGGGTTAGCAATCCTGAACGCTCGCAACGTCCGTCCGCAGCCCGCGACGCCGTTAAAAGGCTGCGCCAGGCAAAAGTCGCTCATTTCTTTCAAAATGTGTGACACACTTGAGAGAGAAGTGTACCAGTTTGGTGAAATAAAGACTTTCCTCAAACTAAGCTTTATTTTTCATCTAACATAAAATAAATTCTTTTACAAAGGTAAGTTGTCTCATGGCATGTATTTTGGCCTGAAAAATTCATGTTTTGGTTATAGCGTGGTACCGCTTATAGTGCGGATTGTCGCGACTCCCGCGACATACGTTATATGCGGTCTACACTGCACAGTGTAGACCAGTGCCAATGTCAAGCTTGGCGTCGCCCAACCACGGTGGTCGGCAATTTCACTGGCTTTCTTACCAAGTGTTCGGCTTAGAGCCCCTGGCCGTCGGTAGTGTATGCTAATCTATTACAGTTCCGACTGCACTCGTGTAGTTGCAGCACAATGCACGGGCACCGGGTCATATGTGCTTCATGCGACATGTGGCAAAATAGAAAAAAAAGAGGAGTCTGTTTACCCACCGCAGAAAGACTGTCCAGTAGAGCAAAGGCATCAGGTCCCTCTTGAGGTGGTACATGGTCCGCCTCTCCAGCCCTTGATCCACCGGGAAGGTCTCCAGGGGGTTCAACTTGAAGTCAAACTCGGCCAGGATGCACTTGTTGTAGCCAGTGACCAGCGGGCAGGACGAGTAACCGTCATACTGATGGAAGAACAGAGACAGGGTCATTCTTGCACAGACGCCATGATCGACGGGACGCGACAACGCCGGCAACACAGACTGACAAGGAGCCCAACGTGATGTGGTCCGTGAAATAACATTCAGATTCGGCGAGCCTCGTGTGGTCCTACGTGCCATTGAGTAGCCTCTTCCTAACACAAACATGGATTGCAACAAAAGAAAGCTTGCGCAAGTCCAGCTGCAAAACAAGAGGCCTCGGTTATGGCAGCTACGAATCACTGGGCACCCCTTAATTTCAGTATTTCCATCAAGAGATGTAACTGTGAACTGAATGGAACTTGATTTCCCTCTGAAAGAGCAAAGACCAGCAAAAAAAACTGCAGCAGGCAGCTTGATGCTGCTCCTCCTCCCCCCCCCCCCAGCTCTCCACTGTGGCTCACCTAAGTGACTGGCTGGCCAGAAGGATTATTAGAAACTTATAAGATGGTCCTCAATGATCACTAACAAATTCGCCGACCGACAAGTGCCGTAAAATAAAAAGACCAGTTTGTCTCAATCAGTCTGCTTGAGAACTAATAAGTTTAATGCCCACGGCAGCTACCATTCACTTTTTCAGGAAGTGGCAAAGAGAAACCAAATTCAATACTCTGTGATTTATGGAGTGAACTATTTTATATATGAAACTGAGTCAAAAAGTATTCCACTTAACAAATTTAGAGCTCAATTGATACATCTTGATGAACATTGAAAACACGGTTAATAAACAGAAGAGCTGACTAACGTTACACACGAATCTAACCGGTTACAACGGACGAAAAAAGGGGCAAGGGACAAACACGCACATCTCAACTTAAGGGGGACATGGGCCTAAGTTCTAAAATTTTTCGAAAAACTTCATTTTTCTATTTTTAAGTTTTCGGTTTTGGAAACTAATTATACACCCCCTTACACAAAATTTCATAACCCTAATTATAATTTAATTATACACCCCCTTACATAAAATTTCATAATTTTATATCAACATAAACAAATAGTTATGTCGATATAAAATATTTTCAACACATTGTGAGGCTGTAACAAAGTAAAGGAGTTCAATGTTTGAATGCATTTTTCTCAGTTCCGCTTTTTGCTGCAAATTTTATACAAAGGAATCTCTTGTTTGAATATAAAATTATTCTGAAACCACAATGAAGATGTTTCTTAACTGAAATTTACTGGGGAATCGGGCTATCTTCTTTATTTTGTTTTAAGTTAAAGTCCTTATTGAGAAAAAATGATGTTTTAAAAAATTGACATAGGACAGATATGCATCTCATATTTTGAGATAATCACTCTTCCTGAAATATTTACACTGGAGTTATAGAAACTAGATAGCCCGAAGTCCCACATCCCCCACTTTATACTCAAGCAGTTAAAATGATGCTTAATAGCTTCGTTTGCATGTCATAGATTTCTTAACGAAGAGTGACTTATCTTCTTATGCAGGTATGTAAAGTTGCCCTAGAGAGCTGAAAGTTTGCACAGTACCCCTGCATCTGAAATTAAATCTCCCTTGCCAATTTCATTTCGATCACTTGAGTAGTTAAAAAGTTCAACCTCTAGCCAGTGTCCCTCCTTAAGACAACTGCGTTTGTCTCGTGTCCCCTTTGTTGTCCGTTGTCTCCGGTTAGAAGTGAACACACTATTGTATACAATTAAAAATTTTAATTGAAATAGCAATCAGACTGAACAATATTTAATATAATCAACTGTAGGCACCACAATTTTTCGATAGCAGCAGTAAGGGTAAGATTAAGTCACAAGAGCTCAGTTGAACAAAATTAGGGGAGCCCCAGTTATCCCTTCAAATTTCAAACAGTTTCTAATTCTTTTACTTCAGTCCTGGGCTCTTTATTGATGTTATTGACTTCTATTAAATCTTGCGTTACACTTTATTTGTGACTCGCGTTTGTAAGTGTTCATTTTATTTACATTTTTACATTCATTTGTACAATGCTTTCATATGCTGTATTTTTTTCGTAATTAGTACTTTGTGCTGCAATCGGGAAAGGGGGAGGGGGGGGGAGGGGCGGGGAAGGGGGTGAGGAGAGTTTTATTATCCTTTAGTTCTCATTTTGAAGGCAATGCCTTTACCTTATCACTTAAGTGGACTTTTCTCTTTTTTTTTCTTTTTAGGGTGTCATCCCACAAGCCCTTCGCTGGCTTAGGTGTGCCCGCAAACATATCCCTCTCTAATAGTCCCACTGAGTCAATAAAATGTATGTATGTATGTTTGTATGTACTAGCTTGCCTGTGCACTTACTGCCTTTTCGCTAAATTGCGTCCTATTGTCAATACAGTGCATGCCCACTTATAACGATACCACATATAACGATGTACCGCTTATAATGATCAGGGGCGGATCCAGAACTCTGTCTTGGGGGGGCAGGAAAATTTGCAAGGATACTATTCTCCCATTCTTTCTTGTGCACCGGGGGGTCCACCCATGTCAAATTGCCCTCCGAAAAGGGGGGAGGGGGGACTTTGTTTGGGGGGGGAGGAACAGCCGCTTTGTTGTCCCCCCTTGAGTCCGCACTTGGCAACGATCAGTTCCTAGAGTTTCTAGACTGGAAATGATCAGTTTCCAGTCCAGATACAACGATAATCAGTTTTACGATTGCAATCTCAGGTTTCCTTACTATCATTATAAGTGGGTTGCACTGTAGCAACAGAAACCCACAGTGGCAAGTGCTCATTGGAAAATAGCCTGCAAACAGGGAAGTAAAAAACTGAAAACCTATTCTGTTCTGTCAGACAGCACAGGGTGACCCTGTTTGGGGAAAAAGGAAAAAAGAGAACTGTGTTTTTCTCACTGCAAAAATAAATCATGCATTGCCAAAAACTCAGTTTCTGTCCAAATGTAGTGTTAGCAGTCCGGGTTAGATGCCAAAATTTCAGAACTGACTGTCATCCAATTCGAAAGTTTGATTTTAGAAAATTTTCAATAAGGAAATGGGGCGTGTTACCAATAGCAGACGCCATTTCCATTCATGTATTCGAGGGCTCTGTTGGGTGCCATTTCCTCAATGGAAATTTCCACGATTCACTTATGACTTTTGAATTAGATAACAGCAAGTTCGAAACTTTTCCATCTGGTCCCAACCATTATTGTTACATTTGGGTACACAGTGTTCAGGGATGGATAGTTTCTTTTCGTGATGTGAAAACACTCTTCCCTTTTTGCCTTCTTTTTCTGTTTGTTATATATATCGGTCTTTATGCATTTGCAAAAGTCTACTTTTGAATGCATTTTTCTCTTTCTTACGCTAATCAGTTTACCTGACCAGGCAAACCCGGTATAATGACACTAAGCGACTCGAACCCCCAAGGATAAGCGACTCCCTTCCACGTCGGCTTGGAACAAGAGGAAGAGAGGATATGAATGAGATAGTGTGAAAAGGACGTCAAGGGTGTCTACTAATTTGCCTCTCTCAAATTCCCCGACTTTTCCCAGATTCTTCATGAATATTTCGATTAAATTCCCCGATCATTACAACAGAAGCAAATGCAGAGGATGGGGTTTTGGCGGCTATTTCCACTTAATCCAGTGAATCGCTTGGTGGCTTTCACTGCCTAGTAATGCCTTGGGCAACTGTTACTCAGTGTGGAGGTCAACCATGACACCACGTGCCACACCCTTCCGCTTCCTTACGTGTCACTGCACCGCCCACATCACACATTTTCCCCGACTTTGCCAACTTTTTTACTATTTGCTTGACCATTCCCTGATTTCCCCAGATGCTTTGAAATTCCCCAACAATTCCAGGTTTCCCAGGTTAGTATACACCCTAGACGTCTGGCTAGTGCTTCAGATGATGTCACCCACCAACTATATTAGAGGCAATGCTAGTCGGAGGCCACCCCAATTGCTTCATCACCCAACCCCTGAAGGGGCAGTCCCAACGGAGATAAGCAGCGGCAAATGCTAATAAACACAACCCATCTGCTTTCCGGAAACCTTGGCTTGTGCCACATGTGTTGGTGTTAAGACCTTTTCTCTATTTGTACAATGCTGTCACTCATTTTTTGTTCCTTTGCCCGTCTCAGCTGTTTTGAACCACCAGCTTTCGTGCATTCCACGTCCCAATTTTGTTGAGTTCAGGTACATGAATTTTAAGGAACTTTAAAACCTGGACATTCGATTGTTTCTGCAACCTCTTGCAGGACGCTGGACAATGGCACTCAGTATGGAAATGTCCTGCGAGTGGCGAGACAGGTGTTCTTTCTTCATTACTTCAGTCTTTATTAATTTTAGAGTGATCTTACAAATATAGCAATTCCTTAACGGGTAGGCAATCAGTGGTGAACTCCAGATATAGTAAGGGCTATGAATCCAAGGACTCACTCCAAAATCGGAGAAAAAAAAAATGAGCGCATGCATGTAACGAGTCTTCAAAAGTGTTGAGAAGTTTATTCTGGGAAATTTCGAGACATAGTTATGTTCCTGTAAGGAATTTTTACAATACCCATGATGTTTTCACAATGGCTTCCAATGCAGACAATCGAGTTAACTAAAAGTTGTGCGTGTGGTGCCATCTCCCGATAGATGCAGTAAGCAGATGATGGCATCACTTCTTTCAAACAAGTTCCTGCTGTGTCTGTTGAAAGATGGCGCTAAAAGCACAACTTTCAGTTAATGCGATTGTCTCCATTAAGAGCTGGCCGTGAAAATGCTAATCGTGTTGTGGTAATTTCTCACAAGAATGAAGCAACTCCTTAAAATCTGCCAAGGTGAAATCCACCATTTAAATACTACACCTTTAGTGACAGGTTGAGCTTGTTACATGCAGGTGCCGATTTTTCAGTGCAATTTAAGACAAGACCCTGGATTCAGAGAGAGATACTGAATTCATTCAAAAAATCAAGTTAGATTCTTCAAAAACTAACAATTATCTGAACAAAAACAACTTTCTAGTACAAGGCAGTTACAGAAACATAATGGAAGAAATACCTCTCTTTCAGGTTTCTTCCCCTTCATGGCATTCTCCAGGTTTTTACGGAGGACACCACTTTCGCCAGCTGCACCAAGAAACGGTAGTATATTAGTTATCGGCACTACTGTTAAATCGCAGGTTGCACCGCAGAAGAATTTCAGAGAGATCAGAGCAAGGAACTTTGGTCTGAAGTCTGAAACAACACATCATTCATGGGAGGAGCCACATGGCTTTTAAATCTGACCATGCCAATCTGAACCTTGAAGAGGTTAGGAATCTTCATTAAAATTCAAACTATGGCAACATTCGAACGTGTCTACATATTTTAAAACTCAAACCTCATGTGGATTGCAACATCTTCCTTCCAAAGTACTAGTACCTGCTTCCGTTCAAGTAACAAAAACACTTTCTGCCTAGATTTTGGCTAGTGTTCCACTCGAGATATTTCACAGGCTTTTATTTGATCGAGGTCCTTCATATATCATTTCAATATTCATCTATTTGTCCATTTATTCACATGCTTGGGTCACGACCTACTCTATATTTACGACCACTCCGTCTGGAAACACTCTAGCATGCACCTCTGGAAAGCCGAGTTTCAGCGGCGCCTCGTGGCGGGGCTTGGAACTCTGTATTTTTTGTTTTTTATCTTTTTCCACGCTGCACTAGGTTGCATTGGCCTTTATGGCATTGGCGGCGTGCGGGCACAGCCATTACCATTTGGTGTTGGCTGCACAAACTAAAAAATTTACCGCATCTCCACGTGGTGAATGATGTTGATTGGGGCGAAGCTCTGGTGGTGCTGATGATACTGATTTTGTTCATAGGTAGTGGTGATGGTGCTGATTTTTTTTTTATTGCTCATACGTAGTGCTGAGTTCCCGGTTGCGTTTCGACTTTATTATTACTGCTTTATGGTCGGTGAAATGCAGAGCCAGTGGTTCTTTTAGCGGATCAGCTTAAATCCGCTAGAAGCTGTGGGAATGGGCGGTGCAACGATTTTATGATTAAAAGAATTTGCATATCATAATTTTTACGTTGTTTATCGTGTCCCGGAGGATAAAGAAAACAGCTCCTTCATTAAAAATGTCGCGATTCTGCTGCATAATCGCAAAGCAAAAGTCGAGCTTTTTCCCCCCCCTGCAGCCCCAAGTGGCAGCCGAAGGAACTACGGCGAAAAGATTATGTGACCTCGCTCGGCTCTAAGCTGCAGCATAACGCCCGCTAATGTCAGCAGAGAGAGGGAGAGGAAGCGTCCTCTGAGAGATAGCACACGGGAAGCTACACGGCACTCCGAATGACGTCACTAGGAGGGGGACCAGGTGTGACCCTGAAAGCTGGGAGTGAGTTGAGGGGTGCCCGAAATGCCAATATTTATCTTTTTTTTTACGCAACAACTAGAAGACGCAGGCGAAATCTGTTTTCTGTTCTTTACTTCAGAAGTGTCAGAGGACAACTTCTAGAAATCTGTGACCGAAGTCTGGGAATCGTTCCACCTCCCTTTAAGTCAACAATCCATGCCAGAAAGAGAATGTGTGGTATGGAACGTGGTTATACAGTCGACTCTCATTAATTTAAACTCTCTTAATTCAAACTTGCGAATAATTCAAACTAATGTGCAGGTCCCATCCTATGCGTCTCTATGAGAGGAAACTCCTGGTAATTCAAACTTCGCTTTATTCAAACAAATTTTTGGCCTCCCTCAAGTTTGAATTAACAAGATTCGACTGTATAGGCATTTGAGCATTTGACCGCAGTGCCCTTTCCTGTATAGACGTTGAGCCGCTACATGCAACGTTTCATCCATGACATCCCCAGCTCTCGAGTTACTACCACATCTCAGAGCCCCCTACTCGTCCCGCAGTCGTGGCCGAGTGGTTAAGGCGATGAACTAGAAATCCATGGGGTCTCTCCGCACAGGTTCAAATCCTGTCAACCGCGAAAAACATGTTTTCTTTTTTTAAGAAGACAGATGGGGTGGCAATCGATGTGAGCACGGACGCCGGACAAGGCTAGACCCTAAGGAGCTTCGTCCCTAAAAAAAGTAAACTAATTAACGAATTGGACTCCTTCAGTATCCTTAACATAAGGGAAAACATTTTACAGCATGAACGCACTTCAAACCAGAAAGTGTGACTAGCTGGCACAGACCCATGGATAACAGAAGAACCCGACGAGGCAGGAATTAGATAAGAGGACAGAGTTTTCGTGCCGCCTAGTGAGAACGCCTCTTACTAGGTGGTGCTAGAACTCGGCCCTCAGCCGGGAGCAGGCTCTTCCATAGGGAGCGCTCAGATGGAGTGGTCGTAAGTATAGAGTTGATCGAGGCTTGGGTTACTGCACACTAATGAATAACTACCCCTGGCCTGCATGTAATGCATCATTAATGCAGTCTTTGGGAACTTGAGTCCAATGCAATTTCTAATCACAGTTCAACAAGTCCCATGAAATTTACCAGACAAGGACAGACTGTTCAGATTTAACTGAATTCAAACCAAGCAGCTCAAACTAACAAGGTAACAGACACTGCAGCTGTAGAGGGGGCACAGCCACCATTCACGTAAAGCTCTCAAATGTCAGGTGCCAACTTAAGAATGTTTTAATTGCATAACTATAAATAAGCAAAACACAAAAGAAGGATGACTGCAACTATGGCATCAAGTAAGTCAGAGGTTGTAGCATTAAAGCTCCTTAAGAGTGTATTCATCTTTCATGCATAGAATCTTAATTTAAACAGCCTGGTTGGGAAAAGGAAGACATAAAACGAAATTACAGCAAAAAATAAAAATTGTTAGGGGTGTATTTATGGAGCTATATGAATTGGTAGTTAGTGCCTGTGGGTGCCGCAGAAAAGTGGCCACTATTCATCACGTGACTGACCGCTATTTGTCACGTGGTACTTGCCCTTTTTCGGTAGCTTCCTCTGGTTTTTAAAAGTTACTTATTCCTCTTTGTTTCAAGTGCAACAAAAAACAAAGATTAATAAGAAACTTTTAAAGCCCAAAGGAAGCTTCTGAAAAAGCGCAAGCAGACGTGATAGACCTGTGTGCCAATCAGATGACGGTGGCGGCGGCGCGAAGCAGACAAACTTGCAAGGCGGTGGCGTGGATAAACGTGTTGAAACGGCGGCGCACCACGTTTAGCGTGCAGGGGCAGCATGGCTTTGAGGCGGCAGCGGTGCCGCATGACGGCACACAGGTCTACCACGTGACCCGCAACAGCTCTCGCGGGCACCAACTACAAATTAGTTTTGCGCCGTAAATACAGCTCTAAAAATATTGCTTCTTTGTTGTTAGTTTGTTTTATAATATTCTTTTTCCATCTAGGCCGTTTAAAAAATTGTCTTTTTCCTTTGCAGTTGTCCTTTAAGTCGGCCACAATAAGACTCATTTTCTCTTTATTTCTAGGAAATAAAAGAAAGAGACTTTTAGCTGAGTTACGGGTTTAAGTTGAGCTAGTTGGTACATACTGTTGGCAATCAGGTCAGCTGAACACGGAAAACAAGAACACGAAGGAAAGAACTGGACAATCACACCGCTGACTAACAACTAACTTTTACTTTTTCCTCATCCCAGCCTAGGCCTTTTCTCTAAGGTGTTTTTAAACGTGTTTAATGAGCCGTAGGACGAAGAAGAAAAGGCTTAGGCTGGGATGAGGAAAAAGTAAAAGCTAGTTGTTAGTCAGCGGTGTGACTGTCCAGTCCTTTCCTTCGTGTTCTTGTTTTCCATGTTCAGCTGACCTGATTGCCAACAGACTTTTATCAATTGGCTTCAGAGGAGCAAGAAAGCTGGGAACATCAGACTGAGTGTAACTACTGTCGGAGACATTTTGCATGGAGCAAGTATGGCTGACACTTACCAACGGCAGCAGCAGTCTTGGCGGTTGGAACGTTGGTGCAGTCCCCAATCCCGAAAACATTGGGGTAGGTCTTGTGCTGCAGTGTCGTTGGGTTGACGTCCAGAAAGCCAGCTGCATCCGCAAAGGATGCCCCAGTTTTCAAGACAGCGGGAGCAGCCATGGGAGGCGTGACGTGCAACATCTCATACTGGAAAAGCATTAAAAATCACCTAGCTTAGACAATCTGTCAAATGAAATGAGGTTGCGATAGCACTTGACGGGGTTTCTTAACGAGCATCACTTTGAAATGTGTCTGTGCCTACTACATTATTCTACTAATACGCAGTTCCTACCCTGCTATACAATAAAAAGGAGGGGAGGGGGGGAATGCTAATGCACTACCTAACCTCTCCCCTTACTTTGTGCAGTGCAAAACCATTGATTGCATCTGCTATGACATAAAACCAATGACTGCGCTCCATTGCTGGCACTCACTCCCATGTGACCAACACAAACAATTAGAGTCCATACAGAGTTCCCACATACAGCTACCACTTTAAAAGACATCACTGAGACGCCCTTGGGGCTGTAGACTCGTAAAATACAAAGCTGAAGCCAAAAGTTTGCAGAGCGCGTCGATTGAACTTCTACGACAGAAGCGCTGTGTCATCGTTGTGAGTACGATTTGCGCACTCCGTAAACTTCAGCTTCCACTTTGTGTTTGATGAGGCTGGGGCTTCTTGTTAGCAAATTATTGCAAAAGGGTATTTAAAAAGCTCAAGGCATACCTAAGCACTTCTTATGAGGTGTGAATGCGAAAGCATGCAAGCTGCTCGTCCGCTCCCTTATGTTGTCTGCTGCATACTTTTCGTCGCCGGTCAGGGCGCTGACCTTGAACGCTTTTTGCGCACTGACGAACACGCAGTACCATGGAGTGAGCGGCCGTTGAAACTGAAGTGCAGCAGCCAATGGGAGCCTTGTCGATGCGCCAGCCAATGGCATTGAAGCCGAAAAGCCATCCGCCTTGCTCCGCTCCTTTGGGATCATAGAATTTAGGTGCCGTTGGCTAGCTTTTCGCGTGGTTTCGTAGCTGGTAACTGGCTTCACTTGGAGAAAGGATTTAAGGTGCCGTTTGGCGAGGCTCACTCCATGAAACAGTTAATGCTTTTGCATTAAAAATGGTTCATCGTTTTAGGAGATGCAAATGGGATGTTAACTTTATAAGTATCATAGAATACTGCACATCCGCCCATTCCACGCTAAGCACCCAGTCCCAAATTTGAAAGATCTGAGAAAGTATGTACAGTACATTGATATGTAAAATTGATCATCGGACAAGCGCCCATACCCCATTCTTTTGCAATTATCTCCAAATTTTGAGTGGGCACTTGCTTTGTATTTTACGGCAGGTTATATAGACTGAAAATAATTTCAATGTTTCTCAAGACCGTGCTTGAAAGCCTCCAGTAAATTTATTGGACTGACAGTGTGTTATGGTGGAGATTGAAACAAATTAATATATATAATTATATCTCAAAACTGAAATTATCTCCAAATCATTGTATCTGCCATGAACCAGTTCAACATAGGATCCTGCATTTCCAATCATTTTGGGCAATTCAGAGGGCGTTTCAAAGTACACACTGTTATCCAGATATCCACTCCCCTGGAGTTTCTGACTGGACCTATGGTCAGTTACAGGTTAACAATTTAAAGGAAGCTCCTTCCACCTCTTCCCACTTTAGCAAAGCGAATACTGGAAAGGAGGCAATCTCCTTCTCTCCAGCATTTCCCCTGCTAAAATAGAAAGAGGTGAGAGGAGCTTCCCGTGAGCTCTTAACTTGTCAACGACCATACCTTCAATTGAATTTTGCAGAACTGCAGTTTCCAATCTTGTGCAGACTTCAGGGGTGTTTGGCATGCATGTTCAGAGAGAGCATACATGCCTCACTTGTTTCAAGACATTACCACAAGAGGCTACAGACAGGCATGTGGTGTCACATAAACGTAACAAGTTGAAGGGTGCCTCGAAAATAAGATATGCACATGCAATAACTGCCACACTCTCACCTTATAGGTGACAGTCTCTTTCGGCGTAGCAGGGCTGTCTAGCAAACAGAACACCGCTTCCTTTGACTGGGGCTTCACTTCCACTAGCTCATGCTTCAAGTTCACAGTAATGTCTCGGTCCTTCACCACCCCCCACAGGGCATCGGCATATTTGGGTGCGCCAAAGAGAACGCCAAGTGAGCTGTTGAAAATGATCTTTGCCTTGTCTCGCTTGCCCACCTGAAAACAAGTCAAGCGTAATCAACAGAGAGACACGTTGAATGGAATAAGACATGTACAGTCCAGCCTGCCAAGTTTCTAGAATGGATCACATGTTTGTAAAAATAAATACCTGTTATACCCAGCATTAACTACTTTCCGCTACGTTATTATGGCTGGCGTAGCTTCGGCAGTACTACAGCTATGTCAAAGCTATTTGCATGAACGCGTGCAAATAAGACGCAAGACAAAGCCACGTAATCTAACAGCAGTACAAAGCTGCAGCACTGTGGAAGCTATGCTAGCCTTGACAAAGTTAGCAGAAAATAGTTGATGCCAAATATATATCTACTTTATGTAGTTTACTTGAATTCGTATATGTGCATTTTTGTGTGTCCGTGGTCGACACTTGTAGCACTTTCCTGAAAGGTATGTACCCAACATGCTCTGCATTGCGTGCTGCTAAAGCGTCCAGTAACCCATCTTGCTAGTATCAGTGAATATCTTTTTTTTATTCTGTGTAACATGCTTTTAGAACAACAGTACACTGTCAAATACTGAGAAGAACGTGGAGCATTACACTGCATATTCTTTAAAGGACAACCAATGCAGCTGCCATATGGTGCATAGTGGCATTACTAAAAACATTCCATGTTGCATAAACAGTGATGAAAGCAGCATTTGAGCATTTGTGGCAGGCAAACTATCGGTTTAGAACAGCCCCTGATGCTTTTGGAGCAGATACCAACCAAGTGAAGGGGAAAAAAAAATGCATCTCTAAATTAGTTTTTTTTTTTTTAATCATGATTGAGTTTTTTTGTTTTATACTGAGGCATATTACTCACTAGTTGCATGATAAAAATGCATATGATGAAAAAGGAACGTACAACTTTCTTCTTAGAAATAAATGTCTGATCAGAATAAGTTCTATCTGTAAACATGTACTAAGAAAAATTGTGGTTGAGAAATTAATTACAGCACAACAGTTCAGTTAAAGGGCCCAAGAAACAAATTTTGGGTTGGTAGAAGTCACTTTAGATTGGGATTTTACTAATAGCACATTGTTCAGTGGGCCAAAAGAAAAAAAGTAGAAAGTCAAAAGCCTGACTTTCAGTGCGAAAATTTGAAAACACAGCGAACTATTTCGTACCTCCTCCCCTTCGTAAGCTTTCTGCCTTTTCACTGTGATACATCCGCGGTCCCAAAAGCGCGTCATTGGGTCCAAACACACGTCACACGATACCGGACCTCACTTAGTCCTAAGCTGACGGTGTGGTGGAAGCTACACGCTTGCCGGACCAATCAGCCACCTGCCTTTCATCACCTGACCTCATTCTCTGTGGGTGGGTATGCGCGAAGGAGCATGATCACGTGGCGAAAGTGTGGCTGGCCCAACGGGCATGTAGACCCACAGCACTGTCAGCTTCGGGGTGAATGGGTTGGAGAGAGCAACATTTGTCGGAATTTTGAGCGACGGGCTTATCTTCTAGGGGGACAATGGCTCTGTCCGGGTACGCAAACCAGATTTCGAGCAAGAGGGGCCTCCCCTCTTTTCGTCTTCTTGAACTGTTTGGTGGAATGCGCAATTTATGAGTTGAGGAGGAAAGCTAAACAGGAAAAAGTTGGAAAAGTGTTTCATGACCCCTTTAATATGAAGCCTCCCTCCCCCTCACTTTTTTTCACTCATAGTTTATTTAGCATAAAATTACTTTTTTTTCTAAATTCCGGCAAAAACCAGCATACTCGCTAAAACGTTGATCAATGATAACACGTCCTCCCAAGTTTCATGAACTTACCAAACTCAAGATTGTAATATCATACACTGAAAAACAACCACCATAAAATATGAACACCTACAGTTGTGCTTTAAAAGTGACGTTGCGCTTTAGCTGTGTGGGCATCACAGTACAGCCAGAGTTCACCGCCCTTACGCCTTGAGTACTGTTGCGATAGGCCTTGGCGAAGGTCACGTCCTTCCTTCGCTTTCCCTTCTTTTCCACCCGGCGGGGTTTGGCCTTCGCATTTAGGATCGGCGACCGGCCGTCTGAGCCGTTGTTGACAGAACACGTCGCCCGGCGCCGCGTGGACGCCGCCACACCTGGGAGCGGAGCTGAGCCGGACTCTTCTCTCTGGCTGCGGGGGTCAGTCCATCCAGGAATCAGCTGCCCTACCGGGAGAGGATTCCGGGGGACGACGCCGGCGGCGGGACTTCCGGCCGAGTACGTTCGGCTCAAGTTTTCGTCCGGCGCCACTTGCGGATTATCCCGCTAAACCTTTCCCGAGCCACGACGCCGCATAATGAGGGGATCATCTCCATCACGGTCAACGTCTCACGAGCTGACAGCGGACCCTTCGTCACCAACTCCTGGCGTGGCTTATCGAGGTCAAGAATGCCCCGGCGCCGGATTGGGAAGCCCGTCCGACGCTGCAGTGTGTGCGTGTATCTGTGTGCGCGCTCGAGAGGATGAGTGGGGGCGGGGCCTGAACATGACGTTCGTTGGCAGTTCGGCCACCATTGGCTGCCAACCGCTGGAAAATCAACAGCGACTGTATTAAAGAGCAAACGAGAGGCCGCAAGGTGTGCTCTCCGACGAACAAGAAACTTCTGTACATATGTATTAAAACAGAGTTTATCGCGAGACACCCTCCCGTCTCCTGATGTCCCTGCCTGGAGTCGGCCTGCGGTTCCTGTCCTCGCCTGGCCCTGCCTGAGGCTGCCTGGGGAACTCCTCGGTCGCAACAACTGGTTGGCAGCGGCGGGATAACGTGCCTGCTCATGGTTCCTGGTACGGGTGAGTGCTTTGCAATTTTAACTTGATTTGCCAGACCTTTTGCTCAGTGTTAGGTACGCGAGTAGAAGGCTGCCCTTTCGGCTCAGAAAACGCGAAGTTCAAGCTGACTGAGTTTGATAGGGGAGGGAGATTGCGACACTCGGGATCATGGAAGTCAGTAAGCTACGCATTCCTGAGTTGGTGGCGGTATGCGAGGAGCTTGGTATAAGCGTGGGGCAGGCAAAGCGAAGGAAGCCGATCATGGAGCTACTTCGCGAAAAGGAAGTGTCCGACGTAGAGCTTCAGGAGGCTTGGGAGCTGATTCAGGAGCGGGACGAAAGAGCGAAGGCTGAAAAGCGGGAGCGGGACGAAAGAGCGAAGGCTGAAAAGCAGGAGCGGGACGAAAAACGCGAACGTGAACGCGAGAAGCGGGTTCGTGAATTGGCGGAGAAAAGGCTCGAGATTGAAACGTTGATGCAGGAAGTTCGATCTCAAAGAAGAACGGTAGTAGTAGAGGTCACAGACTCGAAGTACCTAGCAGCGACATTTCCTCACTGGTTCACGTACGAGGGTGATCCGAAGCCACGAGAAAAAGACCTGGTGTCCAGGAGGGAAAGAGCGGTTGCACCAAGCGGAGCTAGAACGCGTCAGGTAGCGGCAGAGACGGTGGGTCAGAAAGAAAAGGTTGAAGAGGAAGAGTTCAATTTAACCGACGACCAGGGTCTTTGTGCCGACGGGACTACCGACGCCGTTCCGCACAACGCCGACTCCAGACCTGAAGCGCTGGAAGTTGGAGGGGATCCCGCCAAAGGAAGAGAAGAGGCCTCTCAAGCCTCTGACGTCTGCTTCCTGGGGGACGAAGACAAGGCCAGCATGGTGATGCCGCCGCGGAAGTCTATCCAACTCGAGGAAAGCAACGTGGAGAAGTCAGCAGATGGGGAGGCGGAGCAGGAAGTGGGTCGTCTTGGCCGTCCCCCGTGGAACTCCGAGACCAAGCCGGGGCTGGACGAGCGAGACCAGAGTCAGGGGTGCTCAGAAAAAGTGTCCTGTTCGAGCCGTCCTTCTGGAAAGAAGGAACAGAAGAGGAAGCAGCGCAGGGTCAGTGTTTTCCGTCCTGCTCCGAACGATTCTGATCAGCAACGTCAACAGAGGCGCGACGCGTCGAGCCAGAAGCAGAAGTCGTCCAGGCCGGAAAGGGGGAAGCGCGGAGGCACCCATCCCAAGGATCCATCAGCCGGCGGCGGCTGCAAGAGAAAGGGATCCAAGGGGAGCGCGGAGAGAACCATGCTGGATGAGGAAAATCCGGAGCAGGGTCCCTCGAAAACCTCGTCTCCATCGCAGAACGACATCGGGTGTCCGTCCAGACGGAAAAGACATAGGAGGAAGAGGCAGCCCGAGATCAGCGTTCTCCGTCCTAGTGCGGACATTTCTGATGAAGGGCAGTTTTGGAAATCTGGCGAAGGCGAGTCTCGCAGAAGGGAGCTGTCGTCGAGACTGGGACACAGAAATCCCGCGGATATTCATCCCAAGGAAGTATTTACGGACAGCGGCTGCGAAAGCAAGGGGCTTGGCTGCGACAAGGAAGAGTCAAGTCTGGGCAAGCGAGAGGATCCGAAGCGCAGGCGGTCCGAGAGGTCATCCCGATTATGGCACGGCAAGTCTGATGGCGACAATTCAGGCGCCGACATGAGCGGGCCGTTCACTCAAAAGAGACACAAGAAGAGAAGGCTGCGCAGGGTCGGTGCCTTCCAATCCGGCCCGGCCCCATCCAATCAACAACGTCACCAGAAGCTGAAGAGAAGCAACTCCAGAAAGAGAAAGCCGTCGTCTGGGCTGGGAGACGGAAATCTTGAAGATATCCACCCCAAGAAAGCACCAACCGACAGCGGCTGGAGGAGCAAGGAGCACAGCGGTGACGCTAGGAAGCCAAAGCTGAAAAAGCAAAAAGATTCGAAGCAGCGGCGCTTTAAAAGGCTCAGTGCGCGCAACTCCAGAAAGTTCTCTTCAAGGCCGGAAGAAAGCCAACGCCAGGACACCTATCACAAGGAGCCATCGATCCAGACCGGAAGTGCGAGCAACGGGCCTGGAGGCGACACCAGCAAATCTACACTAGATGCGGAAATGACGAGACAGAGCCGCTCGGACGAGAAGAACGAAGGCTGCGAGGAGTCACGCAGCGTAAGGAAGCCGAGAGTCAAGCCGTCACATTTGTCTCATGCTCCCACGACGAGAAGAGATGATCAACAGAAT